CTGTCAGACACACATCCAGGCCTTAGCTTTGTAAGCACTTTCTTCATTTAATCACCTGAAGCTAGCCCCAATGAAAGATCTTTTGCTAATCTACCCCAGTAAGAACAGGACACCAGAAAACATAAAGAGTTTTGAGTTTTCTTTCTTAAAAACTCTAGAAATACATAAATACTTATAGAAGGAGATTTTACCATGGCAATGCTATTTGTAGCACTTACTGCCTTAAGCAGCAATCAGATGTGTTAATAAAGAGGCTTCATTTTAAATGCATTTGCAAAGCAGCTACAAACGGCTGGAACATGTTCTGAGCTGAAGAGAAAGGAATTGCTCTCGCTGCTTGAAAGCAAAAAAGGCTAACAAGTATCAGAGGGGCCAGCTACTCCAGGAGAGACGGCAGGGATGAATGCTCCATTCTCCCAAAAGAGGGTTCCCTGTCCACGTCAATTAGGTAAAACATGAATAAAAGGGAAAAGAAATCTTGCGATAAAAAGAATTTCTCCAAAATCTATGTGAACCTTAACGCTCTGTCTGTACAACACAAAATCTATAGAAAGACAGTGAACTATGACAAAGAAAACAATCCGGAACAAAATACTGCTTTGGTATGTATCCAGAGCAATTACTGCAGCCCTGTGCAGGGATCTCTAGATATGGCCTTCTACAAGCACAAAGGAGCAGCTTTTCACAAGCCCTTGTCCTCATGGGGCACTTCAGCCACACCAGTATCTGCTGGAGGGACAACACAGCAGCGCATAAGCAACCCAGGAGGCTCCTGGAATGCATCGATGAGAACTTCTTCCCTTGAGACAGGGGAGCCAATGCTCTCAGTTCTCAGCAATAAAGAGTGCCTGGTGGGGAATGTGAAGCTCAAGGGGAAGCCTGGGCTGCAGTGACCATGGAGTGGTGGAATTCACGGTCCTTGGGGCAGCAAGGAGAGTGCACAGCAAACTCATTATCCTGGACTTCAGGAGACCAGACTTCTGGGATTAGCTTGACAGAGTACCATGGCATAAAGCCCTGGAGGGAAAAGGCCAGTAAAAGCTGGTTAATACTCAAGGGCTACCTTCTCCAAGCTTAAAGAGGAAGTAAAAAATACCATGAGGTCAGTATGGATGAACAATGATCTTCTGGCCAAACTAAACAACAAAAAGGAAGCCTACCAAGAGTGGAAGCAAGGTAGCCTGGGAAGAATACAGAGATATTGTCTGAGCAGACAGGAATCAGGTTAGGAAAGATAAAGCTCTCAGAGAATTAAACTTGACCGACATCAAGAGCAAGAAGCTTCTATAGGTACGTGTGCACTCTCCAGAACCAGAGACTGGTTACACAGCTTACGGAGAATGCTGAGATACTCAACAACTTTTTTGACTGAGTCTTCATCAGCAAGTGTTTCAGCCACACCAGTGCAGAAGGCAAAGGCAGGGACTGACTAAATGAAGAACTGCTCCTTGTAGGAGAAGATCAGGCTCAAGAAGATCTTAGGAGCCTGAAGATGCACAAGTCCATAGGAACTGACGAGATGCATCTGTAGGTCCAGAAGGAACTGGCAGATGAAGCTGCTAAGCCACTATCCAGCATATTTGAGAAGGCATGTCAACCTAGTGAAGTTCCCATGGAAAAAAGGAACACAATCCGTAACTCATTTTCAAAAAGGAAAAAAAACTGAAGGCCTGGGGAACTACAGGTTCCTTGATGCCCAAGATCATGCACCAGATCCTCCTGAAAACTATGCTAAGGCACACGGAAAATAAAGAGGAGACTGTTGGCAGCCAACACAGCTTCATTAATGGCAAACTGTGCCTTCAAATCAGGTGGTCCTCTATGAAGGGGTTACAGAATTGGTAGATAAGGAAAGAGCAACTGATATTGTTACCTGGACTTGTGCAAAACATTTCACATTATCCCACGTGACATGCTCGTCTCTAAACTGGAGACCACCTGGATAAAGAATTCACTGAATGGCCACATTAAAAGAGTTGTGGCCAGCAGGCTAAGAGTGCTGGGGCTGCGCAGCCTGGAGAAATGGAGATTCTGAGGAGACCATAAAGGACCTTCCAGTACCTAAAGGGCACCTACAAGAGAACTGGAGAAGTACTTTTCACAAGGGCATGTAGTGACAGGACAAAATGACTGAGGACAGGTTCAGATTACATAAGGGAGAAATTCTTCACTATGGGGGTATGAGACACTGGCACTGGTTGTTGAGAGAAGCTGTGGATGCCCCATCCCTGGTAATGTTTAAAGCAAGACTGGATGAGGCTTTCAGCAACCTGGTGAAAGGTGTCCCTGCCCACAGCAGGGGGGTTTGAACTAGATGATCATTAACATCTCTTCTATCATTTTATGATCCACAGCCCACGGAACAATTCCATTAATTCTGAAGCTAGAAGCAATATAACCACACTTGTGAAGCAGCATGCTTACACTAAAAGACCTTTCTCTGCCCTCATAGAATGAGAATGTTTTATCAGAAATTCAGTTGTGATTTATACCTCATTTTTACTACTGAGATGAAAAGATGTGTGAAGGGAATGGTCCTGTACCAAAAGGCAGAAAAAATTATTTCATTTGCATCTAAGTGTTTAATTGACAGGCTCTTCCACACTAAAAAGAAACACCATGAATGGAGGAAATTATTTTGGCTCACTTAATAGGAAACTTCAGTGCTTGAACAGCAATTCTTAACAATGAGTGACGCTAGGTTATTGATAAATGCCTTTTATTTTTTGTAGAAAATCTATTTTACTATGCTGTTTCACTCCAACTCATTTCTGATTGAGACTCTTTTCATAAAGAGTCAATTCTTGCTTCACATAAGCAAAAACTTCACATCTATTTCACAAAGGAAAGACGCAGAGGGGTTTCTTCACATGAATTATTGGCAGGATTCAAGAACTTATCTTTAATTAAAATCAACAGCCAAAACAACCTTACTATTTGGATAATTATACCTGATGAGTTTTCATTAGGGTAATAGTTAGCAAAAGGCACACACTTACAGAAATGAGTATCAAGGCAGGTTAGGTGTTTTATATACTTGCACTCTTTATCCTGCCTCCACAATTGTCCAGACTGGAAAATGACCAGATTGCCCCAGAGCTACCTTTTGATCAGAAACAGAGGTATTGGTGTGTATAAAGGAAGCAGCTCTGATGCTTATCATAAACCATTAAGTTTGGAGGAGTGTTTACATCCCACAGTACAGATTCAGCTCCAGTGATAAAAACCATTCAAGATTTTACCATACATGAACAAGCTACCAAACCCTGGCAGGGACTCCTAAAAACAGCGCCTCTACCCCTCTGTTTTCCTTTCCAGCACTTTTATTATCATACAGAGATGAAATTCTTTTTAATATTCTGATAAGCCTAGTAAAAGATTGGAGACTCGCAATTTCTTGACTTCTGTATTTTAGAAAATATCTTTGCACATGTAAAACAGAGACCCATATGGAAACAATTGTTTCTCATAGTTCTCTGGTTGTATTATACTGTGTCACTAAGTTTCAGCTGCTTTTTAATATAACCTAAACATATTTATGCATTAAGACAATGATTGCCTCCCTTTTTTTTTGTGAATGACAAGGACATTTTGGATTATTCTAGAAGTATGTTTCATATATGCTTACTCCCACCTTATATTCATCCCAAGGCATCAGTTTTTGTCCACTGCCAGAGACAAAGCAGACATTTGGTCTATGCAGTACAGCTGCTCTTTTGTTCATTTCTAAATAGAGCTAAAAAAACAAATTCCACATAAATTTCTCCTTGATTTTTGTTATCTTTCAGAGCAAATGTTTAGGCTTTATCACATTTCTAGCTACATAAGTATTTTTTTTTTTTCCTGAAGTGAGGCATTTAACACATTCTCCAATATTGTGTAGATACAGTGCTGACTCCACCATGAAAATTGCAGGGTCAGAACCACTGTTAAGGGAGCAACAACAACTTTCCTCTCAGTAGTATGAAAATAGCACTGGTTTTGTGCTGCTGCAGATTTCAATATAGCTGGGAAATAAAAAATAATATTGTTTACATCAGCATAAAATCCAGCCTTCAGTATGCAGCCAGCTGCACATAAAATGAGGAGAAACATGAGCAAAAGTGAGCATTTACTTGAATCAGGTCTTCAGCAGCCACATAAATGTGCAGCTTGAAGTAGTGCTGACAGACATCTTTGTCTCAGGGCAACTTGCATTTGTCCAGACCCTTCTTAGCAAAAGGCAACATATCTAAAATCAGACCTATTGAAACAAACTTTCGGTTCTTACTGGTTTTAAAGAAAATATCTTGTGAATTGATTATTACACAAACAATCCACTATTACTTTTGGGTGACTGTACACACATGAAGAAAGATGCAATTTTATTTCTAGCTAAGGTGAATGCATCTTGCTAGTGCCTATTCATACAGAAAAGCAAACAGGTAACTACATTTGCTAGATGTGATTTCCTAACTAAGGAATTAAATACAATCCTTTTAAAATACAGCAGACTTCAGGCATAAGTCCTTTTCCTAATGCTGTCAAGATGATTCCAATGTCATTCGAATTTACTTGCTTATTTGATTTTGCCTGTTTCTCCTAGTTTATGCTTTGATGCGCCTGGCAAATTTTAAGTCATTTGACATTTTGACTACAGGTTTTAAACATTACTTTACCAAGGGCTGCAACAACATTCAGCTTAAATATTTCACATGGTTACACTCCCACTTTTCCTTTGATTGTACTTAATTTGTTAACAATCTGTCTAGTACTCTCTAGTGTCTCCTCTGCTCAACTTGTTATATTTACTTCTTTTTCTCTGTCTAACAAAGTGATTTAATATCTTAATATGTTTCCTTAACATTTACTAATTTAAAGGTATGAAGTCTTCAAATATAATATTCATACAGCAATATATGACATAAATCAAGTCAATGGCTCAAACACTGCATTGTGGTGCTGACTTAAGAACTTATATGGATATAACAATTTCATATAGTCACTAATTAGTGACTCACCTTTGAATCATCCAGTTCCAGCTTTTTCAGAGATCGTCTGACATAATCTACGAAGGAGGATGATTTGGAGAAGGTTTTTCCAACATGTCGATCACTGCAAATACAGTACCCAGGTGTAGCTTTTACACATCCAACAACAGAAATTCATGTGTTTTTAACAAAAGAAATAAATCAGTTGGATGGCTACTACTGCCAAGTTGGCAAGAACTTTCTTTTTTCTTCCTTCCACTTAAAACTAGCTAACACTTGAAGTAACTTTTAGACACAGCAACTGGGTAACTGTATTATGGTTATAACATGGTTATTATTTTGCCTAAAATTTTGAGAGATATTTGAAGTTTCTTTTTAATTTCTTAAGTAACTTTTTTTTTCTTTTTATGAATGGTGAAATTATTATGTCCATTGACAGATATTTCCTTCCATACTTCTATATTATTTCCATAATCTAACATAATTCTGCTGTAATTTATTTATCACCAACCACTGGACTGAGAAAATGTCACTTTTGCTTGTTACCTGGTGTTCTTATCCTTTCAATTTTTATTTCATTAAATGATGCCAGAATTCTGTCCTGTTCAAAACTCAATAGCTTGCATTTTAAGTCAGACAAAAATGTGTGTTGTTTCAAAACATATGTCAAAATAATGCACAAAGGAAGAATGAATCCTAGCAGACTACTTGTCTGTCCTTAAAATACCTTAGAGAAACAACACACAAATTTTCTTTTTAGTCTGAATTCACTTTCTTGACTTAGTCTAACATTATTTCTCCTCTAGATGTGCAGGGTAGGAGTTAAATATTTAGGTACTGAATTATATAATAAGAGATACACTCTCCCCATACCCTCCCAGTGAAAAACTGAATAGAAGTATATTAGTTTCGAACTTTTCTCCCTCTTTATTCTTAGCAAAATGTATCTCCTTATCTAAAACCCAGAACTAATATCTGAGGTCAACAGAATTCAAAGGATTTCAATGCAGTTCTAATGCTGTTTAGGTGTCAAGGACCCTCACTCATTGAGAATTATTTTTGTTTTCATATTTAATATTCAGATGTGCCTAAACATTTAGGCTGATACAGTCTGAAAATCAGTTAATGATTATGTTGTTATGTCATTCCTAGGAATATGGGCATTTAATGTCATGCTCAGAAAAAAAAATGGGGGTGAGAAAGGTCTTGCCAAGGGAGCCATTGTGCTCATTACAGACATACAATCTTAATTATTTCCTCCAAATTATACTTCCTTCAAAACATGAAAAATCTACCTCACAGTTTTTCTTTTCTTTACAATTTAGCAGCCATGACTTTTTGTGTAATATTTTATGCAATTTTAAAATAAAGAAACATTTCTTCTTTCAGGAATTTGACCTTCTGAAGGGTAGGTAATCTGTCAGACTCTACATCTAGTCAGTTTTAAGGGTATTTGCATTAAGTACTTATTTTAGATCAGAGTATACTTCTGAAGTGAATTTTCTGGCTTTCCTCACCTCTCATGCCTTGGCTCACACCATGAAATAGTATCAGAGCTCAAAAAATGGGTTATTTTCAAACTAAATTAAACAGGTAGGTGTGCTTCTGGATGTGCTCCAAGTTCTAACAGGCCTACATCCCACAGACTAAGATAAAATCTAATCCAACTGCAACCACAGAAGAGAATAATGTAGATGTCAGGTCCTCAACAGCAGCTCTCCAAACCCCATTCCTAAAAGAAAGCAGCACTTGCTAGTGTAGGCACAGGCAGTGAGTAAGCTCTTTGGAGCCATGATGGCCATCGAGCTGTCAGCAGTTTTTCTCAGGACAAACAGAAATGCCTTCTTCCTTCTGCAGTATCAAAGCTCCCAGGACCTCTGCATGACAGGGACTGCCAGGACTGGCACTGACTTTTCAGTGCATTTGCTGAGAATTCTCAGGTGAAGATGTGCTTTACCCAGTACCAAAGAGGGCCTGTTTCAGCTACAGGTAAAGGAAGGGCATACATTTGTGACATGGATTTAGGATGAGCAAATCTATCTTGCATTTTAATACCAATGTGTATATACAACCTGATGAGACTGATTCCTACATCCTTCTGCTTTCCAAAACACTCTCTGCAACACAGAGGTGAAAGAGAATCAGATCAATCTCTGGTTGTTATTATGTGAATGCAGAGCTTCCTACCTTTTGGTGACACCATAAATTTCTTCTATAATAACCTGAAGAACAGCTCGATAAAACAATGATTCTGTAGGCAGCTGCAAAAAATTTTACAACAGCAAGGATTTAAAATTGGCACTGAAATTAAGATCAGAGCAACAAAAGCAGTACTGTTTTCCTTAACTATTTATTGAGTTGTATACTTTACAATCAGTCATACCAGATTTAAGAAGACAATTTACTAATGTTCTTGCATCCAGTTAAAATTATGTTTTTAAGTCAGATTCTAACACAACCATAAATGCAAGAAAAGAAAAACAAACCCAGACTCTCTTGATGGAAAGAAAGACAACAGAGAAAAAAGCACTGTTCATGATCCAAATTCTAATATGCAAAATAAATAACAATTATCTAAGTTGTTTTGAAGACAAAAGGAGAAATTACCTAGCTGAATCATCTATGGTCAGACTGTAGTCTGAATCACGCAGAAAGTACTGTGCTCAAAAAAAAAAGTACTAAAAATTTCATATATTTGTCTATGGAAAATCTGTTTGCATAAAACCAGCTAATGACTGCCAATTAAAAATTCACAGAAAAAGACTGCTGGGGTCAGTGGGCTTACTGTATATGGAAAGTGTCTCAGCCTGGCCTTTTAAATACTTGCACAGTTGGTGTCCACCATCCCTTAAGGATAATTTGCACAACAATAATTCAAAATATTCACAGGGGAAAAATATACAGGGATTAAAAAGGAGAATCACGATGTTTCTAACCGGTTCAAGCTTTTGTCATAACAATGTCTATTTTTACACTAGTTGATAAAACATTGGGATAGAGTGATCCAAACCAGGGATATCAGAAGGACATTTGCACTGAATTTATGTATTAGCTGAAAGATAGCAAAGGAAGTTAGGATGGGTAGTTTAATGACTTAGATTTTAAGTTGTGCTTTTTTTTCTCAGACTCTCAATTGTCAAAGAAAACAGATTCACTAAGTACAACCACAGCAATAAAAACGTGATTTCATGATGACACATGCTATCTATCAGGATTTGACATAGTGTAGACCAGTATTTCAGATTTCAGATATGCAGAAGTTCAGTAAAAGGCCATGGATTAAGAACATTCAAGGGGGGAAAAACACATTTTATCGTAGAATGGCTAAAATAAACAGTATTACTTACCATTTGGCCAACTGCAACTCGCTCCAAAGCCTTTAAGAGTCAAGGAATTAAATTGCTGATATGTTTATTCTTTATCATAACATTTTATAAACACATGGTATAAAAGTCAGAGGAGATGACATTTTAAAAGATTAATGGTGTGAAACAACATGAGCTTGCACACTTTAAAGTGTTAATACCTTTAGGCACTCATAAGCAGCTACTCCTGTTATTTTGGTTTCTTTATGGGAGAAGCAATGACATCCAACTGTGTGGAAACAGATCCATGAAAAATTTGCTTGTTTTTCTGTCTATTGCACAAGAATTTCAGAGGATTACTTTTTGTGAAAGCGCTAAAAACAAATGAATTTTTCTTGAATCTGTTTCTACTGAAATACAAGTAATTCACTTTGCATATTTAATCATTTAAAAGTAAATACTAGTTCAATGGACATTATTAGTTGCAATCGCTAGTGCTCAGATAAACGGAACTGCTGCAGGCAAATAAAGTACCTTAAGAGAGACTGCAGTTTAAAATACTGTGCATTATTTTTCACTAGAGTCTTCATCTATAAATGCTGATGTAGATATGAGACTACTTGATTTTTATGATGCATAGCAACAAAGTATGACAAATAATTAGAAACATATAATATTCTTTCACAGTTAAAACGATAATGTGCCTACAAAAATTTCAACAGAGTTTTGAAGATTGTAGTAGAAATGAAGACAAAACCTCAGTATCTGATTATCTGATACTACATCAAATTAGGTAGCAAACCAAAAATCCCTTGCCATTTACAGATTATTATCACCCTTAGTCCCAAACTTCACTATAGTAACTAAGACTGCATGTTACACAATCACCCACTCTTCTTTCTCCTTATTATAGAACTAATCTTGTACTTCACACTGTTCTTCAAACACAGTCCACATAGCTGCAGTTCCTCCACTCATGGCTTTGGCCAGCTATCAGGTTTGCCTTTTGCTCCACAAGCTCTCGTAACAGCAGCTATCTGCTACTGCTGAGGAGATGGTATGGGTTCCAAGACATATTGTAAGGCTCTGGAACTGTAACTCCTGCCCAACACCTCTGGCTCTTGGCAATTCAACCAATTTGAACTCAGTGTCACTGCTCAGCAGACCTCCTGCTAACCAGCCATTAGCCCAAGAAATGTGGGTGCTTAGTGGCTCTGTGCTGGCTCCATTGTACATCCTACATGGCAAGGAAAATCCTAGTCATGAAAAATGCACATAGATGATTGTAAACATAACAGGAGAAGTATCTAGTTACACAGGAGAACTCTGCCTTTTGTGAATATTCAAACAAAAGGTTTTTTAATTGCCAAATTTCTGTGATTTCTGAGACATCTAAAATAGATATATATAGCATGATCAGTACTCTCTTGGGGGTCATTTGCTTACAAAATTTATCTTCCTACCATTGCTGAAAAACAGCCCAACCTTTTTCTGTCCAAAAGAAATGGAATAGGAAACAGCTAATGTGTCAGCTGAGGAAGGACTGGTATTGTATGACACTGACAAGAAAAAGAGAAAAGGCAAATCCCTTTAGAAAGCACTTTTCTTCTGCTAAGTTTACAGCTACATCTCTAAAATGAACAATTCTTTTCTTTTACTTTGCTGAGGGTAACACATTTAAGCCTTATGGATCCTAACAACTGTCCTCCTATATTTTCTCCTGACAGCATTTAATTATCATGGTAGTTCAAGTTTACATAACCTCAATACATTAGTCCACACTGAATCTTTAGTCTATCTTCTCTGTAATGGAGGTACAGAGCTAGCAGCAGAGCACAGCCAGAACCTGATGTGATTTGTTTGGATACCATAAATTTAAAATTAATAGAGGGAAGGAATAGTGGTCTTCTAGCTGAAACAGTGGTCAGAATTTTCAGTACCTATCTGTTTTTTCAAATTAGACAACAGCTCATCATCCTATCTTGATGAGGCTAAGTACTTCTTTAAAAGTACTTCATCTCTTGGTGCAATGTTAAAAAGATGCTTCCAGATTCTTAAGCCACATGGATTTTAGAGCTCCTCTAGTTTTTTGAATAGGCAGGGTTGTTCAGGTTTTAAACAGCTAGAACATTCAATATTATGAATCAGGAAGGCAATGGGGGAGTTACTGATTGCAATCCTTCTACAATTACCTTGTTTCTCCCAAAGTCCTAGGCCAAGAACTATTATCCTGAGGGGCTACCTTGTTTAGGTTTCAGCAAAGTTTTGGCCTTTCTGTCCACTCTTAAAGTACATTTCTGTCAATACTCATTTTTTCATGCCTTCAGTAAGCATAAAATATATAAAGCTGGAAGGTCAATACTGGTTTTTTTAGATATAATTCATCATACTTACAACATTAATGATGCTATTTTGTAGATTCTTGGATTAAAGTCATGGCTTCAGGATCAGAAGCCAAAAACAATGAATCCTGTAACATCTGGACAAAGCTCTCTGTAGGAAAACGAAAGGGAGGGGAATCATACCAAGCATGCTGACATCCTAGCATTGCGACCACAGCACCAGCCTTTGTCCTTCAAGTACTGGCACAAAAAAAAAAAAGGCACAGCTTTTCCACTTACAGAGTACTCAATGGATGGAGCAAGATGAACAGTAGGTAATGTAGCAGAAACAGTAAACTGTTCTCACCCAGTACCAAAACTCGTGGTAGTCCTACAAAAAACATGCTTTCTCTTTAACAGATGTTTTTGGTTTATGCTGAATTTCTGATAATTTCACATTTACCAAAACAATTTTAAGTGAGTGTCCTTTGCATAAATCCACTGAAAAAACAGTCAAAGGGACGAGGGAAAAGTCTGCAAATACTCATGGTAACCTACACTACTCCACAAATCACAAGATGTAGGCCAAGCAGTCATTCCATGCAGAAGAGCTTCATTACCACTTCTCATTGTCTCCTTACTCTATCCCAGATGCCTTTCAGACATCACACAGAACAATGTGTATTTGTTTATTTTAGTTTTGAAAGACCATTCTGCTGTGAGGCAGAATGTTTGTTTTCCAGAAAAGAGCAGCTGCAAAGGCTCTTGCTCTTTCTTCAAAACACCAAGAAGCATTTGCATCACAATCTGTACTCAGTTTCAGTATCATTTGTATTTTGAATAACAAGAAAATTATTCATGTTTAACACTAGTGCAAATATGGGAAAACTGAAGCACAGAGATTACTTTATAGATGTTCTTAATACTCAGTTCTAAATGTACACAAACTCTAAATGTTTAGAGTCTTCATTAACACATTGTCAGCTGATTTTTTAGAATGGTGAATAAGAATTACTGCTTTCTTTAAAAAAAACCCCACAAATTGGCTGAGATCCTGGTTTTTTAGCACAGGAAGGTGACTGGGGCATATTTCAGAATAAATCATGTAATGGGGTTAAAAAGAGGGGACAGCAGAAAATTTACCAACAATTGGAGTTACATACATGTAAGCTGAATTCATTCTATAAAAGTTAAGCAAAGAAAAAGAAAAAAAACTATAAAGAACCAGCCCCACAACTTGTGACAGCCTTTGCCTTTTTGGATGAAGTGCCCAGTCTCAGCTGACCACTAGAAAATTACAGCAAGCAGGCAAGAATCCTGTGCAGGCAACCTCACACTTTGCTCTCCTTTTAGCCCTGAGGAACACCAGAGGCTCTTAGGGGTTGAATACTTGTTTGAGAACTGTGATTTAAGAATAGGATTTTAATTATGGATTGCAAGCAGAAAGAGAAAGAAAATTCTTTAGAAATAAAGATGAAATTTGATCAAATAGATTGCAATTGGTTTCAGCACTAGGAATGTACCAAGAATTTGTAAGTGCCTCATGACAAGCTCTAAAATATTAATTAACTTCAAGTCTAATTATGGAGTACATGGAATACATGAATATTTCTACTGCAGGGATGGCAGTAAGAAGTCATTACAAATATTTTGCAAAGTAAACAATGACGGACTGTCACCCTGAAAACTCAGCTTTTTGATCTTGTTGACATAGTTTCTAAAGACTTTCCCAGGACAGTAACTGTAAACAGTTGACATAGTTTCTAAAGACTTTCCCAGGACAGTAACTGTAAACATAGATTTGTATACATTCTTTCTGATACACATCTCTTGATGGACATCTCTCAGGGCCAGTGTGGTTGGGAAAGTGTTACCCTGACCATCCAATCCCTGGCCGTGGTCAGAAACCTATAAATTCTGAGAGAAGAAATAAAGTTTCTCTTTCCTGGTCAGAAACCTATAAATTCTGAGAGAAGAAATAAAGTTTCTCTTTCCTCTCATCACACCTTGAGCTGTGTCTGTTTGACTCATTTTGTGTCCAACAGCAACAACTGACATGGTTCCTATTGCATGATTCTCACTAATATGTCTTTCTAATATGTATGTTAAAATATTTCAAAATGAAAATTTGCAAACTGATTTAGAAAGATGAAATACTTCATCTTCTCAAGCAAATCCCTTCTAATTTATGCCCTGTCCTACAGGCAAACTAATCATTCATTCAAGTTGAAGTTACTACCCTGTCAGCTACAATCTCAGTATCAGTGCACAGTACTCATGTATAATTCTGATAATCTTTGAAAAAGATTATCACTCAAAGCACCATCATTTAAATTATTGAAACTGTAAAGCAGGAGAAAAAGGGAAATTAATACTTTAAGTTGGAAAGAATTTTTTGTATATATCAAAAGTTGACCACACATCTACAATATTGCTTTAAATTCTATTTATTATTTCACATTCAGTCTGCTCTCAAGTACACTTTTAAAAATTTTAGGATTAATATATTGCTACAAAGTTCATATATTTACAAGCTACATTTTAAAAAACTAGAAATTATTTTAATGCCTCCAACTACTTCAGATACACTTAATATTACATAGCTCAGTAAATACCTTATTGTGCCTCTATCTAGCAACACAACAGCTGTTCTAAACTGTATAAATCTCAAAAAACATTCAAGAAACATTTTAAGTACATTTTAAGTACTCCATGGAACATTTCACAGGAAACAGCTCAAGTGTTCAACAGCACATGAAGCAATCACGTTATAATTCAGTAGAGCAGCCAATCAGACAGAATTCCTTCTGTGAGCAGTTAACAAAATAAGGAATTTTAGGTAATCATTCAATGAGCAGAACTGAAGCTAAGCTTGTGTTTAATATCAGAAGATATTAGTTAAATAGCAAGGACTTTACCTCTAAGCTAACTTCTAAGAAAGACTGAATCACACATTAAATAAAATGCTGCAAATATTGCAATAAAGCATCAGCATTTTTTTAATTGATATAGTATTTATAAAAAAAAAATAAGACAATAAAAGTAAGATAAAGGTAAAATCATTTTCACAGTTGCTAACTCTGTGCACAGATGATGACAAGGAAGTTCACGAGAATGGGATGAACTTCTCCAATATCTTTAATACTAGGCTGACCACAGATTCTCATGTCTAAGAATACTACAATTTTTAGTGTGCTAATATTCAAATTTTACTCCACAAAGCTTTACAGTAAAATATTGTCATTATAAAACAATGGGACCAACAAGCTTTAACATTACTGGGAATATAACTGACTCATTATATTAACTGACTTGAGTTCCATGGGATGAGCCAGATCAGAAAGGTGTGGAGGCAACAAAGCTGGTGCCGTGTCGTATTCCTCTTGGCATGCCTTTTCCAGCCCTGGTGTCCCTGGAGCTGCAGGCTTTGTGGGAATCTCTGAACCCCAACCCTAAACCTAATGGCTGCTTTTGGCTGATTATGTAATTCAATGGATTGAAATGGCATTTTTCCTTCTGAGATTTTTCAGTGGGAATTAATCTATTACCCTCCTCATTTTTTTTCACATACACCCTACTTTGTCTCTTTGTATATATTGTAAACTTCATCAAAGTAGTACTAAAACACAAATAAGTTTTTTCAGGTGCTCCATAGCCTCTATCTTCCACAACACTGTAGATTTTTAGTCTACTTCTGTTATTCAAAATGAAATAGATAACTACTAAACTGCCTTTTTCCTTCGTGGGGTAGACTACATCTTCCTTGGCCATGTAATTCACTGGTCCATGAATTTGTATTTTTCAAAAAAAGTCTCCTGACTAAGCAGGATTTTGCTGGGGAAAGCAAGGGGCACTGGGGAAGAAAAACGTTTTCTAATTCCAGGAAACAGAATCAGCTGCCACCAAAATAATTTCCAAAACCCAAACCTAGAGTATGTTTTAAGTATGTGCATTAAAACTTTGGCATTCTCAATTCTAACCTTATACTTTGTACACATGAGAAAAATACAAATGTAAGATGGTTTCAGGTTTTAATATATTCTTGCTACATTTATTAATGAAAAGTACCATAATAACTTCAATAGGTAATACTTTCATTTAACATCTGTAAAGCTTACCTTGTTAGTATTTTTTCAAGTTTCGTATTTTCTTCAGAATCAATTTTTATAAAAAACATCTGGGATTTAGTGACTAGTTAGCTGTGTCACAAATACATAGAAAGGTTCCCTATGCAGCAATATCTAAAGATGCCTTGGGAAGGAAATTAAGCTTTTTGATCTGTTGCTTGGAAGTGTTTTCCTGTGTTGCCATGGTATCAGTGGTAGCTATTTTAAGATATTGGCTGTGGAATATTTTTGAAAATATAACTAGGCTACACATAAATCATCTGTACTCTAATACCCTGAAACAGTGAGTAATCTTTCATATTTGACTGGGATAGAGTGATACAAAGCCATTATGCTTGTGTAAGTAATCCTTCAGAAAATTCAGTTTCAGAGTATTTGTCCTCCGAATCCACCTTACTCAAGGCTTTGCCAGGTTTCACAAGTCTGATAAAATTCTGTCTGTGAATTTTGACTACCCTTTGCAACTCTTCTGTTTCCCTTTATTATGTTCAATAGCTTTTAATAGTCAAAGTTGATTTTGCAAAAGCTTTGCTGACTTCTTCCAGAGTGTCTTATTGAGAAGCTACTTTCCACAGCTTCCTGTAGAGCTCTAGAGCTCCTCTACCCAGCAGTGATCTGACTTTGGCAATGCTTACACAACCTGGAGTTTATGTTTTGTATTACTAAAGACAACCTCAAAAAGAGCTTCTATCAGATAGCTATCACTGAAAGTACCTATAAAACTACACCTATCTCTTATTTCAAATTACAGAATCAAAGATTGTGCTGAATTGGAAGGGATCCAATGGATCATCAAGATCACCTGGTAGCCCTGCAGAGCACCATCCTCAAGGATCACACCATGATCCTGAGAGCATTGCCCAAACACTTCTTGAACTCTGTCAGGCTTAGTGCTGTGACCACGTGTGCTGAGGACTGCACATGATCCAAAGGGTTAAAACTTCCCCCCACCCCGAAGGGGAGGTACCTGGGCTTTCCCACCTGATCCTGAGCACATATTAACCCTTGAAGCGTTTGTTTCACGGCTTCCCCACCCCTGATGGACCAAGACTGCGACCATCACTTTAACCATGGGACATCTGAAATGCAGAGTGCTCCTGAAGTGCAAAAATAATGTGTAGTGATACCTTTCCTCTCTGCCAGCTACTCTTCTAATTTCTTTCTTCCTTATAGATTTTCTTCAGTGATATTTTCATGCTTTTATAATGTCATATTGTTATAGATAGTAACCAAAATGGCTACATTTCCATTGCAACCGAATTGCTCTAAAATACATATACCACCACACACAAACACATATTTATACATATACACACATATATATATATATATATATATATACACATGCACCTATCATTCTTTTCACTCTAATCTGCCCCAAGGGATATATTAAAAAAGAACCTCAGTAAGCCTGTCTCTGGTGAGTCTTAGCAGCAGCTCCAGAGCAAAAGAAACATTTGTGTGTTTTTTCCTCAAAACAGAGGATATAATACTGAAGAATTTCATTGGTTTCTAGACTGGTACTGAAATATTTGGTGGTAAGGAAGATGAAAAGCAGAGAATTAGAACACAGAAACTCAAATTCCTTTTCAAAAAAGTAAAATATTTTTTAAAAATATGTTAAGTTTTCAGTTCTTCTCTGTTAATGGATAACCACAGACCAGCTGGTACACTGCCCCAAAAATGTGTTAGCTGAGTGTAAGATAAAACAGCTCCCAAGAATCTTAAGAATATCTCCTGAACAGAGGCACAGAGTCTGTTTTAACCAAAAAATCATTAGCAAACTGATTTTTTTCCCCAGAAAAACTGACATAATGGTTCACTATGTAAATAGGTTTATGTAAAATGTCTCTAATAAATAGTAAAATCCTGTCTACTCTGATGTAATTGACTACCCAATGCAGTAACAGAGAAGAAAACCCCCAAAGGAATCAATTATATTAATGGCTACATATATTTTATCCATACAAGAATCTCTACATAAACAGGCAATTCTCCTTAGGGAGACCCAAAGCAAAACTACTTAGAATTTTTCAAGAGCTGTCATATTATTCCTTATTAACTGATACTTAGAATTTCATACTGCTTATAAGCAGTGAAATTTAAAGACAGGTGTTAAAAGACATTGGCTTCAACTTTTTAAAATTGAGTTGAAATTTAACATTACACAGCAACTCTTGGTTGTTTTAGTTACTAATAAATCAAAGCAAAGGCTTTCATGATCTTAACAGTTCAAAATTATTCCCAGCATAATTGGAAATGTGGTCCCATTACCAAAATTTGAAGATGAATTGTTTATTTATAGACACATAAAAGGATACTGTATACTGATTGCATTATTATTCAAGATTCTGACTGTTGGCATCTACTTTCATCAGAAATGCTTCCAAAGAATTCACAGCAGGTCCAACAGCAAACTCAATCAGCCAATCTTGCAATATCTGTACTATTTTTAGAGTATGTGAGAAATGTAATGCATTATTCCCTGAAGTCATCTCAGAAACAAAAAAAAAACCAAACCCAAACTTGTGATAACCAAAGTAATTCAGTAGCCCAACAAACACCAAATAGTAACATTTTTAGTAACTGGTAAATTTTATTCCTACAAATATCAGTTAATTCTAGTTAATATGAAATGAAAGATTAATTTTCACTTGACTTGGCATTAAATCTTAAGTGCCAAAGAACATGCTTTCCAGCCATACCAAGTTCTGAAACCAGAAGTCCATCGCAGCTCCTGTTTGAGGTGGCTCCTCTGCTTCAACTGAGCTTATGAGAACAACCCTCTGAGTTTACATTAAAGAAACACCAAAGATGGAAAATGTGATACTTTGGGGGCAAGAGCTTTGAGGTGGACTTGCCACAATCTTGACTTGAAGGGTGCATACCTCAGGAAAATAAAAAAGCTTTTATAGAGGACAAATAACATTTTTAAAACAGACTTCAAAAAGCTTCGAAGCTATTTAGTCAAGATAAAATGACTGTAGAATGCTTTAGAACAGAACTTCCCACTGTGTCCTCACAGGCAAGTCCTTGCTTACTAGACTGATTTCAAATGAGTAAGTAATTTCCTGTGTTGGAGCAAATTCTGCCCAATTATCTTTGCTTCTTAGGAAGATCTATCCATCACTGCAGAGATGTAGCTCTAAACTTGCTTCCTAATATACAAATTGGTCTCTCCGTCTAAAGCATGTACACGTCTCTGCAATCTCTGACTGATGCCTAGAGTAGCCAGTAGCTTTCCTGAGTTCAGTGTCAGAGCCTGGGCAAATGAAGGACTATCTACAGTAGAGATTATATTGGCTGAAGTACCACACAAGCCAACTGGAAATACACAACTGCCCGTGGCCAGATGGGACGCATTTCAGGATCACATAACTCACTGGTGTCCCATGAAGACCATACTTTCATCTTTGACAGGTCATGTCCATCCTAATTATAGGAAACAGGTGAAAATCACACTCATCTTCACCTGAATAAGCTCAGTCTCAACAAGTTTATGGAGCACATTTTCCTGGAAACCATGCCCAAGCCCATGAAGAATGAGAAGAAGGTTGACACTAGCGGGCAGGAATTCATCAGGCACTGACAAACTATTACCCTCTGTGATGCAGTGACTGGTTCCATGAACTAGGGAACAGCAGAGTCATAGTTTATCTTGATAATATGAAGTCATTCAGCAAGATTTCCTTAGCATCTTTATAGACAAAATTAAAAGATATGACTCAGATGGGTGGACTCTAAAATAGACAGAAAATTGATAGCAATCTGAAGTTAGACAGTGAACCCTGCAGATTAAGGGATGTGATTATTCTCCATTTTTAGCACTTATGAGAGTATCTGGAGTGCTTCTTTGGGCTCTTTAGCCCACCATAATGACTGAAATTAATTTATTGGTGGCAAGAGCACTAAAGGGCTGCAGAGAAGGTCAAGAAGGGATTTAACTGCTGTTTTCAACAAAGGAAAGAGAACAAAAAAAGATTAAGCTAGACTATTTTTGGCAGTGCAAAATGAAAAAGACAATAGATAATGCACAATAGCTGCAAATTCTGAATAGATATGAGGGAAAGAACTTCATGGTGACAGCAAACATTGAAATGGGCTACTGAATCACTGCCCTTGGAGAAATTCAAAACATGAACGGACAAAGCCCTGAATGAAATTATCTAAGTTGGCCCTGCCTTGTGCCATGATCTGGTCCAGATGACCTCCAGAAGTTACTTGCTACTTAAATGCTATAATTTGGCCCATTCTGGAAGCAGTATCAAAATCCACTTCCTTCCAACAGCTGCAAGAGGAGTTTGTTTACTGCTCATAGAAGTGAATTGTTGGATCAATACCATCCGATTAGTTACAGAGTCTCCTAGAATCCTCTAGAATGCTCTGTCAGTTTGAAGTCCATGTATAGGAGAAGCAAATACAAGATACAGTCTGAATTCTTTCCCATTTGAAGAGATCTAAGCTCTTAGATAGTCAGTCCTTGTTCCCTTATCCCTCTTCTGCACCTTTAAGAACAAGCCATTTGGTAGATGACTTAGTAGGAGAATACAACAGCATTATACATTTTAGAATATGCACTCTCATAGTAATAGTAAAAAAAAAAAATCATTTTGAGCATTACTAGGACAATATATGTATTCTTTCCCAAAAAAAGAATACTGCAATTTCCTTTTGTTCTGTCCAAATGCTCTCCTTTGAGAATAATTTTGTCCTTCAAGCAGAGTAAAATCAAACAGCTAGAAATTCCAACATGTAGTCTGACTTCATTTCCATACTGCTATGAAACTGCAGTGTCTCTTCTAACCATGCACATATATCTGTTTGTTTAAGCTTTGAAAAGTTTATCACGCCTGATCCTTCGGTGGTGTCTGAGTTTATGCACTGGTCTGCAAAAAGTAATCCTATATAGCTAGGGCAGGAAGCTGTGTCCTCTTTGCAATAATAAGAAAGAACCAAATGTTTCAGACACACAGATTTAATGACAAGTACCTGAAAAGTTCTTAATTTCTTAAAAATCTGATGTAAAAGTAATTGTATGTCTTTTCTCTAACTGCATTTCTGTAGCACAGAAATTTCAATTGTATTTTGCTCTTGGACTGAGCTGAAGTATTTTGAAATTACTAAGACTAATACACTGAAAAAACTCTTAAAATAGTTGCAGAGCAAATTAAAAACAACATGAAAAGCAAGAGCTAGCATGTGTCATGGTCAGTGTGGAGCTGTGCCTTAATTGCCTAAGCAGCTAACTCATAAAGAGCAATACCTGATAAATGAAACCGCCCCTCCATTTATAGCAAAATTTGCCTGTATTCTGAATCCACAAATAACTTTCAGGTTATCTCTCCAAGAAAAACTCTTACATATGTATTGTTTCATGATGGGCCAAACAGGCAAAGACCAGCACAGCACCCAGATGAGTGGTTTTTTGAGTATTACCTGACATTACAAAAACTTAATTCCGCTCATCATCGTATACGTACAACTTAACAAAAAAGGATGCTGCACGCAGACAGATGAGGACAAAATCTGGTACAAAATATTTCAAAAGGATGGAAACATACTGGAATTAAAGAGCCTATACATTTATGAGTGAATTAATGGAATAAAACCAGCTATAAACCACATAAAACATTACGCACTAATGTCCCTAATCTCAGTAAAAATATTAGGATTATTGGCATAACAGAAAAGCAACAATGCATCTGGGAGTGAATGATCCTCATAAAGTAATTAAAACCAGTACTAAATAAGCCACTGGAAAGGAACAAACACAAGGAAGTTATTAAATAAAAGGTATAATACTCTCAACATGCAAACTGGCAGCCACAAGCTAAGCTCAGAAGAATTACCTTCTTGGTTTTCAAACTGTTCTGACAACAGATGGTAGCAGCAGCCCACACTGCAAACAGCTTTGATTTCAGGCTTGGCAGTAAAAATTCGTAGTGTATTTGCAGCAAGATCTCCGCATGTATGTAGACCCACCATCATACAGTCCTGAGAAGAAAAAGAAAAAAAAAAGCAACAATAAATTCATGTCTTTCATGACACTGAAATAGCATACTTCTGCTACCTGGTTAAAAACCATTATTGGGCCAGGATATTCATTTACACCAGAGATAGCACTCTGTGTACACTCAGCAAATGTACACATGAAAATGGCAATCTAAAGACAACGGACAATCTAAAACAAGTAAATATTTAGAGTAAAATAACCTCCAGATCTGTTATGATGTCACTGAGTTCTGTTTCTGCAGTGATGCAAGAGGTCAGTGGAAAATACAGGTTCGATTCACTTGACTTTCTTGCTTTACTCTTGAGAGATACCATTTTCCTTTGTAGTTTTTCCTCTTCACAGAGCTCCCCACAGTTATAACGAGATGAAGAAAAATTTTCTACAGCATCAGCAGGAAGAACATTTAGAACAGAAAGAACCTCTTCAGAAAGTTTGGTCTCATGAGATTGTGCCCCAGTCACTAAATCAGCTTCAGTTTCTGTGTTGGTTTCAGGTGTAGCCATTTCTGTGAAACCAAAAGAAGGAGCTAAATCTTGGATAATCACTTGGTCCTGATTTTGAAGACTGTTTGCATTATTTAAAAGCTCTTCATTGATTGTTTTACAGTTAATTTCACTTTCCATTGGCCTGTTGTTTGACTTTTCCAAACTCTGGCTTTTGAGGTTTTCCCTTCCTCGACTCTGATATGCTCTCCAGTGTTTCTTCAATTTTTTATTTCTTTCATGAGCACCATTTGTGTTGGAGCTTGAGGAGTCAATTCCATAAACTTTTAAGTTATATTGCATGGACAAAAATGAACTCAGGTAGCCTTTTCCAGAACCTATATCAATCACCTAGATAATGGAGAAAAAATAAAGGAAAAGAAAGTTTGCTGCATTAATGAGAAACAAGGCACACTTCAAATGCAAAATTATTTCCTAAAAATTTAAGCATGGATTGAACAGCTACCTTATTAGTACCATACTTCTCAATGCACTTAGCTCTTTTGCTTTGTTGGTCCATCTTCTGACTTTAAAACACAGAATTAAGTCTTAACTGATGTACTCCAGAAAACAGAGACTACAATGTTTATGCAATACACATGTCCTGCTTCTTGTAAAGACTTCCAGTATATTTTCTTGACACAGACCTTTCTTGTGCTAAAAAAAATAACCATAAACCAACAGCAATTCCACCTGCCCTTACTAAACTGGGTCAGAGTTAGCAAACAAACCATACACAGTATTCAGCTTTAGGCACGTAATTCCCATACTGAGGAGCCTACTGTCAGTGAGTGCAGAGCAAAAAGCATCTTTAGGTTGAATGCCTAATTTAATCCCTTTAGATTTGACCTAAAAAAGGTTGATATTGATACTCTTTTATGTCAGAAAGCTTTCCCCTTCTGTGAAAACAATCCATACAGCTTTATTTAACATGAGGATGCTTTTCTAACAAAATTAAGGGGCTCATAAGCCACATGTACTTTGCACTGGCCATTCTGGAGGAAGGAGTGATAGGTGACAGTTTGTCTCACAGCTGATACCATGTACTAGTTCAGTGACTGATGCACCCCAGGAAAGAATAACACATGTTTTAATATGTAATAAATATATATATAATAAATACATAACACAACAGTTATGAGAATTGGCAGAGTGACAGTTCTCTAAGGAAAGAAAATTATGTTCACTTCTGTCCAGGTACTGACCAAAAATGATATTGATTAGATATAATGACTTCTTTACAGAAGCTCCTGGAAGTGTTTGATTTAAGAACATCTATGTTTTATTCTTGGTCTGTCACATGTTCATAAGAAAGCTTACACTGATACTGCTAAACCCAAATTGCAGCATACACTACATTGATGCATCTCCAACTCAACTGCACAGTATTTTACCAGTTAAAAATATTCAACACAGCAATATTCTTACTTGATGAGAAAGATTTATTCATTATCTTAATAAAAAGATTTGGACAGCCACGGAATTAGAAATAAAAATTTGAGCCAATGTCACTAAAAGAGTATGAAAAACACAGAAGAATACATAATATTAGGTAAAAACTGTTTACTCAAGTAGCACATGGCTTTCTCATTGTAGTCATCATGTGATATTGATGAATATTTGCAATCTAGACAACCTACAACCATAAATTTTTTTGAAATAAATCTGTACAGGAATGAATTTAGGGAAATGAAATTTATAAAACCTAAGCAAACTTTTTAAAATGCCATTTATTTGCCACATTTATCACTAATATTCTGCTCTACTCAGCCCTAGTGAGGACACAAGTGGAATGCTAGGTCTAGTTCTGGGCAGCTCAGCACAGGAGCGACACAGAGCTCTGTCAAGCACAGGGCAACAAAGACCATGAAGGGATTGGAGCATCTCTCTTATTAGGAAAGGCTGAGGGAGCTGGGTCTGTTCAGCCTTGATAGGAGACAACTGAGAGTAAAAGTAGCTGAAGGGAAGGTGTTAAAGAGGATTCCTCCAGGCTCTTGGTGCTGTCAAGCAGCAGGACAAGAGGCAACAGGTGGAAACTGATGCATAGGCAGTTCCATCTAAATATGAGGAAGAACTTCTTTATTGTGCAGGTGACTGTGCACTGGAACAGGTTGCCCAGAGAGGTTATGGAGTCTCCCTCACTGGAGATATTCAGGAATAATCTGGATGCAATCCTGTGCCTTGTGCTTTGGGATGACCCTGATGAGCAGGGAGGTTGGACCCATCGTGATCCCACTGTGATCCCTTCCAACCTGACCCTTTCTGTGATTCTGTTATTGGAAAGGAAAGAGAAGTGCTGAAGGAATAATTTTACCCACTGTTTTATTTAACAGACATTAAAATTATGTAGAATGTGCACTCCTCCACTTGTTCAAGTTCTGAATTTTTTCAGTAAAAAGCATCACTTGGACACAAGAGAGGAGTAGTGAATTATTCCTATGACCCCTGGTGGTTATGGAGACCAGCTGCAGTTTGTGGAAAGTTTCTCAAGTAAATAGAAAACAGTGATACATTGTTAAATTAGCAGGGGGAGAACAGTTTAAAAGTAAAAGGAAAATTGACTAAAAATAGCAAGCAATGTTCTTGCACGAAACAAATAAACTGCATTCAATTATTCCCTGCTTTACCTTCCATTGATTACATACGGAAAGGTAATAAGCAATCCATAGCCTATCTGTCAAGCATGAACTTTTAAAATGAAATTTCCATGATATAATAAACTCCAAAGGTCTTGTCCATAGAGAGTTGGGTCCTATGTTTAAACACAGTTTCTGGCACAATCAAGCATTCCAACATTTCCCAGCATCAAGTCACAAACGTAATGGATGCTGTATGCAGAATTATATCATCTTTACATTACACACTCCAAGTTTTGCTGCACATGCTGCAATTTTCAAGGAATACTTTGACCAATACATTAAATAAAACAAATGTGCACTTAAGCAAAGAGGAATCAACACTGGCTTCTTTTCAGAGTTTAATCAAGAACTTCTTTAAAATACAAGTTCCACTTGTATGACAGGAACGGTGCTTAAAAGGGTCAGCAAACTACTGAAAAAAAAAAGCCCGCTAGTTATTTTGAATTACTGCTTAAATTCAAATCATCAACCCAGAAGTGATTATAGTGGTAATAAAATTTTTGCTTTTTATTCTTATTTTACTATTTACTATTGTACATTAAAAAATACCAACAGAGAGCAATATCTTCTACCACCCATTATATACAGCGTGGGTATGGAGGTGAAATGGAGGGCATTTTTCAAGCTGCCAGTGATCTGTAATATCTGAAACAAACACCCTGAGGACATGTGTTGTTGTAAAACATGTGTTTCATTCTCATAACTCTAGACTTTTTAATTAAATGCTACATATATTTTGTTTTGCAAGAAGAATGGAAAAAAAATCAATTAGGGAAAAACTCCTAAAATTTATAATTGCTACTTTTTTTTTTTCAGTTGAGAGAAAACAAAAATAAAAGGAGTTGCTTTTTAAAGACTAAGAAGGAGGCTTTCCTTTTTTTATTTTTCAAAGTAAAAGGAAAGCTCTTTTCATATATTAGGGATTTGTAACTTTGCACAAATAAATATTGTTATAGTGTATGACTAAAATGGAAAAAAGTTAATATAGAGCATTCAGCATTTCATATTCTGAAATACATAATAATATACTGCATTAATATTTTTCATTAAATGTTAGAATTTTTTAAAAAAGTAAACAGATAATAATCCCATGTATAAACATAATCCAAGTTACCTGATAAAAGTGTGCAATTACTAGATGAAATTGTAATGAGATGAATATATATATTACATATATGCAGCATATTGACAGACACTTAATAAAGACTGGTTTGAGATTTTATTAGTAACCAGCTACATTGAAACTTCAGTTATCAAGATGGCATTACTTTTTTACTTTCTGAACAGGGTTTTTGCTTTCCTTTCATTCCTGAATCTCACAGGAACTATTTAAATCTAAACAAAAATGCTATATGAAACACCACTTCCCAGCAAATGCAGAGACCACTTACTATTGCAATGTAAGCAAACTATACTCTTCTACAGCTTTTTCAGTACATGAAAGTCTTCAATACTTAACTAACATTTGCCTGAAACAAAAGCTAAACAAGGCAAAAAGCCATGCTCATGACAGAATAGCAGACTTTCACAAATGTGCTGCTAGTGTATTTCTGTTCTCTGCAGAGCACACCCACTTTAGGGCTCCGTCACTGTGGCTGGCTCTTACAGGGCTGCTGGAGACACCGCCTTCCACCGCTGTAAGTGATCACAGATGCTCACAAACTGATTGTGTCTCACTCAGGGATGTTTGGCCTTAATGGAAGCTCTCTATTTACTTGACAATCCCAGTTGTAAGAACACTATCTAAAACTCTGTCTTCATCAGCTGTTCCTCACAAAACAGATGGTCAGGACTGAGGATTTTGATCTCCGTGTCCAAGGTGCCAAAGGCCTGACCCAAATCTAGCAAGAGTATGGCATCATTTACTTATCTAAATTAAACTCAGTCTGAGCCAAATAACCTCCCAACCAAAGTTCAGCTTCAGCAGTTCGGAGCTGAATCCAAGTTTTAGAGCTTTCCCTGTGGTGGGAGCAACCGCAAGTTGGGATGCTGCAGGTACATTAATTTTAAACTATACTCATACATATTTACTTACAAAAAAGAATACCCAGAGAAAATACCCTCACCATAAAATCTGGACAGGTACCTTATTAACTTTTGGTTTTGAACAAATATAGTTTGTTCTCCACAAAATCTTTGTGGGAATAAATACTAGCCTGGAGGAAGCCTCCATTGACAGTTACAGCCCCTTGCATGGAAAGCAAGTGCAGCTCAGATGTAGAAGGGAATCAAATGCACATCGAGAGCCCCATGTCACCTCTAGTTCAAACCAAGGATGAAGCTACATTGGCCAGTAGCTACCAGCATTAGAGAGATTACAAAAAAAAGCATATGTATGTAAACTGAGGAAATGGTATTGCTATGGCATGGTATTGGTGCATTTTGTCTAATAGAATGTGAAACACACTATTCAAAAAAGTCAAGTATTGCTTGTGTTTTGTCAACAGATTCATAAACCTCTACAAGGTTTTACTGAAACGGTGATCTAGCGCACTGTACAATCACAATTATATGTATATAAAAAAAAGTTTTAAGTTGCAATCAAATTTGAGAAAGGAATCCTGCAATTCTTCACTACCCAAGGACAGACCTGTTGTCTGATGTATGAAACACCCAACTCATGCAGTAATTGCTAGGTGATAATGGTGTTGGGTGTCCAGGCCTCATACATGTTTTACCAAGTGTATTTCATACACGCTCTTACATAAATTTCTGCCTAATTTGCTCTCTCTTCAAACTAAAAACATTTCTAATTTACAGATCTCAATCCATGTTTAATAAAGGTGAACAGTATTAAACAACAGGAAATAATTTAAATCTTGTGTCAGAATAAGAGGAGCTTTCAAACCTTCTCATGATATTCTGCCTTGGTCTCTACGTGACACCCTTGTGTGCATGACACAAGGCAGCTCTCCACACCAGGCAGCTCTCCCTCCTACTGACATGTGCAAAACTGCCAGCAATAGAATACTGACAAACAAGGCAGTACCAGTCCAAAAAGCAGAACAGTTTTTAGCTGCTCAACACACGGAGGATGATCATGACTTTTTAAAATTACTCATGAGTGATTATGAGTCACTGAAAGGCAGCTCCTTTGGAACAATACATTAGTAAACAAAATTGTCCTTCAGTTTGGCCCCAAGAGCTCTTCTTTAGCTCCAGTTATGGACAGGAAAAATAAGAACAGCAGTGACAGAATATCAAAGTGATGCATTTGCACACATCAAGGAGAATAACTCAAAAAGTACCTGGTAACACACAGCAAGAAATGCTTTCTTACCTGCTTTATCCCACAATAATTTGCTATGCTGTCTACCAGCTCTGACATCACCTTCACTTCATGTGATTTCTTATTATTCATAAACTCATCCGGTTTGATACCTGTATCAGGTTAGGAAAATAAATACACATTAACACAACTTATAATAAGGATTTGTGATCAATCAGGAAAAAAAAAAAAAGCTAACATATATTTCACTGTTCATGTATTTCCAGGATAATAATTTTTAATTAAAAACTCACTAAATTATTACAGGAGTAAACTTCTGGATTATGGATGGATTAGCAACATTCAACACGCTACAAAACTCAGTTTTTTAAGATATTTAATACCTGACCATATATTAGACAATAGCTACAACTATAAAACTGTACTATTTCTTCCTTTACATTGGAAAATATTTATTTAGTCTCATTTATCACATTTACCTTTTCATAAATGAAATTAAAAGGCTGGGACAATAAACAATCACATTGTACAGGTCGTTAATGCTGCAGATTTGCTGTCAATATCTAGAGGGAGATACACTATTTCTACTAAAAAGTTATGAGCAGTACTGGAAAAATTCAGAGGAAGATGAACTTTTCTTTATTTACCCTATGGATTAGTTATAGAAATGTTACACCTTAATGGCAGAAAATCCCTCATTTCAGTGTTGCTGGAGAATGTGTTAATGAGATGGAGTCAACCTCCATCGTGGGTTACCTGCTTGTGCAGAACACCAAGTGCACTCACTTGCACACCTCTGCACCACCCAGCCAAAGCAGGAGCTCAGAAGTCTCTCACTCCCTTGGGAGCAACCCACTTATTTCTCTTAGGGGTCTAGTGCTGCAGTACACTTGGATCTAGTTAAACTGATGGCAAGTCTGAGTGATGGTAGAAGAAAATGGATCATTACTAATGAGCATGCTCCTAGAAAAGAGGACTTTTCTACATGACTAGGCAGATTAATGTATTTTCCCATTTTCTGCTTTATTCACCGTATGTCTTCATCTGTCCAGAAACTGATCATTAGGTAAAATCCATGTTCATTTCTTGATCAAACCATGCTGGGAGCAGAGCCAAGTGTGTTACTTCTTTAAAAGAGAGCGGGGAATTGAACTGAGCTCATAAGAAACGCAGAGTTTTCTCTATTTTTCCCAAACCCCAAGGGATCTGTCTATTTCTTAAACATCTGGGGTTTTTATAATAAACTGTTATGACAATACTTAAAATCTAATATAGACTCTATGAACTGACAAAAGGAAAAATAGACTGAAAGACTTAAACCATACAAATAGCAGAAACAAGTTGTTTGTCATCTCATTGAAGAATCTCCTTAACTTTAAAATTGTAAAGATCTATACAGCATCCTAAAAAGCTCTTAATTTGTAAGCATATCAGGTTAAAGAAAAACAGACAGGAAAAAAAATTTAAAAGAAAAAAGGTCTCTCTTTTTGTTTATGTTAGAACATTTTTGTGTCTGGATAGGCTCATCAGAAAAAGAAGCAGAAATGGAACAAGAAGAAACAGACATTTAACTTCTTGACAGAAATAAAAGTTATTTTTTTCTCCAAAGCAGCACTGTCCCTTTGGACAATGACCACATACTGCACCTTTGCTCTTTATTATGAACTCAAAACAGTAATGCTAGGTGAAGTACTAGGTCAGAGAGTACGTAATCCAAATTAAGTATTTCAAACATGATAGAGATCCAGAACAATTACCTAACTTAAAAAGCTGAGGTTCCATATAGAAAAAGCATAATTTGTCTATATCTACATCTACAGTTTATTTATCACCTTAGCTATGAAACTTTCTTAAGCACTTTTTGACTTCTTTCCCTTCTTTCTGCAGGATAATACACTGCTCATATTTTAGCTCAGGGAAAAGAATACTTTTTGGAGAAAATTACAGTTTTTAAAATAAATTTTATTTTTCCTGCTTTTTATGCAAAATTCTGATAGGTTTCTACATTATTCTGGAAAAAAAAAGCTGATATCACAAACTAATGCAAATAAATGTATCTGGGGACTGTTTTATATTGCCTGGACAGCTGAAAATTTGAATTAAAGAATATTCCAGTTTGACTGAAACTGTGTAAATTCTTTCTGCTACCACAAAATTACTTTCTTGAAACAGATAATTATACATGTATATTTCCTTACTGTTTGTACAACTGATGCAGACAGAACAAATACTAATTTCAAAAAACATCAGAAACTTAGAGAACCATATTCCATTGAGATGAAAAAAAGATAAACTGTGGTTTCAAATAGAGATATGACAGAGTAACAGAAAGCTTTATGTTACCATGTAATGAAATGCTGCTCATTTCCACTGGGAATCCCTAGCATGAGTACCTGTATTCCATTTGAAGAACTGCTTTAACACTGAAGTGCCATTTACAGCTACAACTTTAGTTGTGAAGCTAAGCAAATTGAGGAGAGACTTTTTATACAGGGCTAACACAGACATTTTTAAGATCTCCTATGGCAGGGTGCAAGGGTTTTATACCCCAGCTACCTGTGGAAACTCACTTATATACCAGAAAAGAAAGTATAAATCCATAGTCCACTCCATACAACCATCTACACAGAAGTTTACTATGGTGATTTAACTCCATGATCCAGAGTAAGGAGCTGGACTAACCATATACTCAAAAAAACCCTCCTGAGGCAGAGTGATATTCCAGCACATGGAATTTAAAGATGGATTCATTAGTAGCCACTGCATGGCATGATTATTACCTTGGCCATAAACACACTGCAAAGGTGGAGTACTCTCAATCCAGCCATCACTTCTGGGTGGTTACGAAGCAAAGCAGAACACCCTTCAGACTCAGAACTCCATTCTGAGTAGCTATGTCCACAACATCCTTAAAATGTTTGTGCTTCCCAATTATTCCCAGGAAGGACAGGAATATATCTACATTAAGATTGTAAAGAAGCTAGAGAACTATGTAAGTATGCAAACTGTGGGAAAAGGCTCTGTTTGTCTTAGAAGAAGAAAACGCATTAAAAACATCTGAAACATATATGGAATTACCCTGATGCATATTTTTCAGAATATAGACAACACCATCAAAAAGTTGCCAGTTTTCTCAGACTTACATTTCTCTCAACTTGCAAGCATGCTTTAGCATGTCAGGGAACAAAGATATCTTCTGAAATACAGAAATTAGTCCAAAATATCTAAAATAGCTCAAAGTTACAAGATCACAACTTTCATTTGGCAACTTGCACATTATGAATCCATACGCTGGTATTTTGCGTATGCCAAATGACTACCAGGAACTTCAATTAAGTTAATTTAACTGGTATTTACTGCCAATACAGCACAAAGGCTTTGAATTATAGTTCTATTGTACACATTTGGAATGCATTTTATTTTTCCCAAGAAGTACTGCAAAAAAAAACCAAACAAACCCAGGCCCCAGCTACCCAACCAAGTATCACTCCTGCTACACAGAACAAAATATTCAGCAATTGCATTATTCCTGATGCTCCATTCTGCATGACAAGAAGGTGAAAGACTCCTCAAAGTTTTGGCTAAGAAAGTTAACTCAAGTAGAAGAAGGTAGAACTAGAGAATTACAGAAAATTAAGAGGAACATGGGGAATGAGATAAAGTAAAAATGAAAATAGCTAAAAAGCTAGTGGGAAAGAAAAACAGCATACAGCTATCAACGAAAAAAAGGGTTTCAGATGAACTAAGAGCATAAGGAAAGAAGCCAGAAAATAAGAGGAAGGCACTACAAATCATTAGGAGTATCTCAGCAATGGCATTCTAGTACCTCTAAAAAAACCTGGGGAGCCAACCATGAAAAATGGCAAAATTGAAGAGATTGCTGTAGAAAATGGGAGAGATGCACAACATCTGTATAATAGTGCTATCACTTAGGATAAGAAACATCAGGAGTTTTAATGCATCTCAGAGATAAAAGGCACTAGAAGACTAAGGCAGAGAGCTGCTCAGTCTATCTCTTAAAAACTAATGAGAAATCTCACGGACAGTGGCAAATCTAGAGGCTGAGAACTCCATGAATAGCCATTTCATTTGAAGTGAAAATGACAGCAGTCCAAATAAGGATAAATGTCAGTTTATCATCTGACCTAAAAATTATAATCAGGGTAAGATTCCCAGGGTCCAACTTGCTGCCAATTCAATTTCTTTAACTACAGAAAATGAAATTACTCTTGTTTCATCACATATAAATGGTATTAGTCCCAAAAATACAGAATTAATAAAAGCTTTTTTTTCTAAGACATCAAACATTTGCCATATTTTAGGGTGATACTTCTAAGAAAAACATGAGTAGCAACTATGATTCTTGCCAATCAGGGACAAAACAAAGAGAATTAACAAGGTATCTCAAATAGTGATGTGCATTTTTCTTTGTCCCATCCCCTTTGGAACTGAATCCCATGATGGGTCTATAGATACCAGATGGTCAAATTTTAGCAAGAGAATCCATTTTGTAAACAAAGATAAAAAAAAAAATATCCAGGAACAAATGAAAATAGAAGTGAGGATCATGTAGGAAAAAACCCTCAAACAAGAAACTACCCTCCAAAACCAAAACTCTCTTACAGTCCTATAGAGAATAAGCAAACGTTAAAATACAGATGTAAATATACCTGTTGCTCCTTCTCTGTCTCCTTTCAGTGCTTCAAGCATATCTTCTAGTGGGGTACACACTCCAAGGTTGGGCAAAGAATAATACTTAGCAGCCAGGGCAAACAAATGGACATTGATAAGCTTCTCAGAGTTTTCACAAAATGCACTGGAAAATATGTCATCGTCTGCACATAAAAGAAAAGGAAAAAAATTTTGTAAACAGTGCTTAACAGCTCTCTAGTACTGCTGACAGAGAACTAAAGGCAATAAATACTTAGTATCAAACAAAACCAGCCATTTATCTTGCTTCCCTAAGTGGGAAAGCTCATTATTTTTCTTCAGCTGTATTCCCCCTTCCGAACTGAGGTCAAATTCAGCTCTTAGCCGAGCAAGTGTAAATGTGGCAAAATCTGTTGTTTCAGCAAACCTACTTTAGTATAATTGACAAGTTAATCCAGTCAACATTATCACTTCTGTTTACAAACTTGCTCATTATGCATGTCCTAGTCAGCCCTATCTGCCAATATATGCTGCTGGATTTTTTTTTTTAAGGAATGCAGCTGTTCAGTATATGAAATGTTTAGATTCACAATCACTCAATTCACGTACTTGCCAAGCTGCTTTGTCACTGATGAATACTGGGAGAATTAAATTAATTTTTATTTCCAGTCAGGTGTGGGCCAAAGTTAAATTCCAATGTCTATCTCATTAGATTCATGATGCAATACTTAGTTTTGCTAATTATTTTTATACATTTGTAATTCTTTTCAATATTTAAAAGGCAACCAGTCCAGCAATCCAACCATTACAAAGATTTGGAAAAAGTCTTCTAGTTTGTCTTTTGTGTCATAGGTAGATTTTGAGGAAGTACATACCTAGCGCAGTAGCTTTCCTGAATCTGGCATGACAGTGGATACAGCTGTTTTGATTGACCTCAGCTCTAATGCTCTTAATTTTCTGCATGACCACAATTAAGGGTCATGCATACATTGCAATCCACTGAAAACAGTCCCAAACCACATTAATTTTCATGATATGACACTACAAAGTGACAAGCGCAGCAAACAAATTTTGTATCGAAGAAAGCATAAATAATTGTCTAAGTTATGACCAGAATTAACATGGTTTTGTTGTCCGCACAGCACTTCTTACTCTACTTCTGCTACAAAATCTTAAAAGAAAGCCACTTTTCTCCATAAACAACTCCCTTGTCTGAACAAATTTTAGTTAGTGTAGTCTTCATGAAGGGTAAGACTGTAACAGGATACTAGAGACAAGAAACAAAGACTGCAGCTTTTAGGGAAAAGGGGCAACTTTGCTTTCCAATGCCTCTCCTGTAAGATTTATTACAGAAAGATAAGGAAATAGATGTGCTTTCACTTTTTCAGCAGCTGACATAAAATATAATTACTATTCTCACAAATCTCACTGAACTGAAATACAATGCAGCAATACCCAAGTTCTAGAACA